ATAAAATAATATATTTAATTATAGAAACTTTCCATTTTTTTTTTTTATTTGTTTGCAAATAAATATATTATTCCTATGAAAATTTTTTTTTATTTTTATCTTTACTTAATAAAAAAAAATTAATAATATTATTATTAAAATTGGTGCAATTAAACTTGATTTTCATTTATAAAAAAAAAAATAAATAAATTTTTTTACTTAATTAGACATTTAAAAAAAAAAATTAGAGTATAATAATATATTTATATTGAAAAACCAAAAAAAAATTTTTTTTTAAAATAATAATTTTATCAAAAGATTTTAAAATGTTTATTATATAGTTACTTAATAAAATTTAGTTTTAAAAAAAAAAAAATTTTCATCTGTTTTAATTAAATAAATATTAAATATAGATTATTTAGAAATATTTATTGAATATATATATATATATTTTTTTTTGAGTAAAATATTGAATAATAATAATAATAATAATAGTTTTCGCTAGTCAAACGTTTTTAAGGTTACAGTATATGTATATATATATATATATATATATATATATGATATATGTATATATATATATATGTGTGTGTTGAGTTCTTATATTGAAAAGTATTGTAATAATCAATTATGAACGCGTTTTTAATAATATAAATATGGAAATAATTTTAAATATTATAATATTTTTCTTTATATAAATTAATAAATTAATTTTTTTTTTCTTTTATTGTTGAAATTATATTAAATTATTATTATTTTTTTATTTAACAAAAAAACCTTTTTCCAAAAAAAAAATTGTAATACTACTAGGACATATGATAATTATCAATACTGATATAGAAAATATTGTAAATAATATTTGATTCATAAAATTATATATTATAAAAAAGGAAAATTTGCAAAGAAAAATAATATTCGTGCAAAATTTTAAATTTTAACCTCGGGAAATAATTTATGCATAAGACAAAAAAGCACACGCCTAAAATATTTTGAATTTAAGTAATTAAATGCACCGGATAAATTTATTAAAAATAAGTTATTTAAATTTTTTATATATTTTTACGTGATATTTGTGAAAAAAAAAAAAATTTTAATGATGAACTATTAATAAATATTTATTTTAATGTGGAACGGTTTAAATTTGAAGGTAAATAACTACTTATTGACATTCCAAAAACAGGAAAAGACCCTGAAAAATTAATATTAAATCTATAAATGAAATTCTAATAGATGGTCGAACTGCGTAGAATCTACTAAAAATAAATAATTAATTAAAAGAAAATTAAAATTGATAAATTGCCGGTAAATATGGCGTCGATGACGTCGATGTGTTGATAATATTATCAAATTTTTAAAAAAAAAAAAAAAAAAAAAAAAACAATTTATAAAGTGAAATTAATTTTCATGTTTGCGAAAGCATAAATATAGATTTATTTAAAGAAAAAATAATGTTTTCACGTGAAAATGATAATTATTATTATTTTTATTATTATTATTGTTGTTGTTGGTAAAAGCTAAAAATTTTCACCGACTTTTTTTATTTTGCTGAAAATTAGGCAAACAAGATGAATTTATTAAACTTGTTTTTGCTGATTTTAATAACGACTCTTTTTTTCTTTTATTTAGAAACCCGATACAAATATATCCAAAATACATTTTATTCCTTTTTTCATAATTTTCAATTATTTTCATCAAAATATTAATTTAATTAGTTTGAGAGTAAGGGTTATTACTTCCTGGAAAACAATTTTCATTTTCGAATAGAAAAAATAATATTTTAAATAATTTTAAAGGGTATTAAAAATAAAAAAAATTATTTTGATTTTTTTTGCATCACTGTCCAGGTCATAACCGTTAAAAATAAAAAATAAAAAAGAAATTTTTAAACAAGTTTTTTTTTTTTTTTTTTTTTTTTATTTTCTTTTTTCACTTCTTATTTTTATTTAAATAAAAAAAAAGCCGCCCAAAAAAAAAAAAAAAAAAAATTATTCAGATGTACTTATATACACACATACCCACACATTTCTAATCGTTTAGTTGTATTAATAATGATGATTTTTTGTAAAAAAATTTTATTTTTATTGGCAATTGTTTTTATTATGGATAAACCGTATAAAATTTCGTCTGCTAGTAAAGAAAGAACAAATTATGGCGCCATTTTGGATTTGATATCTAATTTTGGAAAAAAATATTATTATCAATCAGAAGGTATTCATTTCTTTTTATACTAAATTTATTATTCTTATTATTATTATTGTATATCTAACAAAAAAAAAACATTAAATATAATCTCTTATCAAAATTTTATATATATAATTTTTTTTGTGCAGAGGCTGTGAAAAATTTGAGTTTTTTTTTTTTTTTTTAAATATTAAAAGCGGTTATAATTTATGTATTTATTTATTTATTAATATATTTATTTATAGAAAAACCATTTAGTAAATTAAATTGTCCACTTTGTGATACATCTGTATATAGTTACTGCAGTGAAAAACTTTTACACGATGCCTGCTGTTGTCTCAACTCATATGGTAATTTATTTATTTATTTTTAAACAAAAGAAAAAAAAAACTATTTAACACACTTATTATTATTATTATTAATTATGTATTTATGTACGTACTATTTATACGGTTTCAGAACAAAAATTACCTTCACAATGTAAATACGCGGATTGTGGATTCCTTCATGCAAACACGTGTCGTGAACATAAACTAATAACCGCGTGCTGCTGTTCAAAAGTTCAAGGAGAAGAAAATTAATTATTATTATTATTATTATTTATTATTATTATTATTTAAACAAACTCTATTATTTATTATATATATATTTTTTTTTAAATAATTAATTAAAGTTCTTTTTTTCTCTCTAAAAATTAATAATTTGTTTATGAATTTTTAAATTTTATTTCCTTTTCCTCTTTCGCGGTGTCGTTTTTTTTTTTTTTTATAATTAATTAATTAATGGAAAATTTAATTGTTTAACGTGCGAAAATTATTATTATGAAAATGTTTAAATATTTTGTTGTCGCATTTATAAAAAAATTTGTGATAATTAAAAATAATTTAGTATAAAAATATAATATAGTTAAAAATAAAAAAAACTAATAAATTATCAGGTATGATAAATGTTTTTTCTTATTCGTTAAAATATTTCTATGAAAATTGATAGGATTTAATTTTATTTTAAAAATAAAATATTTTTTCATTGGTGGCTGATACTAACAAGGTGGTGAAGATTTTTTTTTTTTTTTCTTTAATATTTTGTAAAAATCACAAGGATTATTGTTTGTTTATTTATTCACGAGTTACGCGAATTAAAATATATTTAATTTTATTCGTCGATACCTCATTAACGTAAGTAGAATTATTATTATGTTAGAAAAAAAAATTTTAATAAATCCTATTGGAAAATAAATATGTGCGCCTTGATTGATTGATTAGTATTAATTTTCCCTAATTTTTTTTATAAATAAGAAAGAGAAAAATTTTTTAGGACGACGTTTTTCAAATCGATTTTGTTTGTATTTTTATTTAAAAAAATTTTTTTTTAATATAAAAAATAAAAAAAGTGGTTTGGAGTACCCTTGAACACGTCATTAATTATTCGCACGAGCTTTTTTTGATCCACGTGTATCTACTAAAAAAAAAAAAAAAAAAAAAAAAAAAACGACTACTACCAATTAAACATTGAAGTAACAAAGACAACAACAAAAAATTTAAAAAAATTTTTTAAAATATATTTTACAATTTGAATGAATCAAAGCGAAAGTAGCAGTTATAACTTGTTGACCTGAACCTTACAGTTAATATTATTATTATTATTATTATTAGTTTGGGGAAATCCAGGTTCGCGGTTGGTTTCGAGCAACCTAACATTAAGCAACATTGCTGAAATATGACATTTTGAAATCTAAATTTATATTTATTAATTAAAAAAAAATTTTCTTTCTTTTAGTAATATTTATTTTAGAGTGAGTGCGGTGCCAAATTTCTAACCGTTAATAATAAAACGATATTTTAGAATAATCATAAAAGTATCATTTGATTCATTTATATATATATTAAATTTTACACATTCACACACACACACACACACACGCATACATGCATACATGCATACGTACATATGTACATGTATTTTTCATTGGTGATTGGGCAAAGTAATTTTTTTTTTTTTTTTAATTTTTTTTTGGGAGGAGGAAGAAAAAGAAGAAGAATAAGAAGAAGAGGAGGAGGATCCAAAGAATCTAATTGTCCTTGTGACGATCAATTGCATATAAAGAATACAATGCAAATACATTTAGTTTAGGTCAGTTACGTTAATCACAAGCTAAGTATCAAGACACAACATGTTTTCATTCCTTTTCTTCTATGTTTTTTTTATTTTATTAATCTCAAGTTTTGTGTGTCTGTTAGAGTATATAAATAAAACCTTGCAATAAACATGGTAAACAATCGTGTTTCACAGCCTCGTTTTATCCGTATACTTTTACCAGGATTTTTTTATTGGGAGCACATAATTTTTATGAAAAAAAAAAAAAAAAAAAAAAAAAACGTTGACATAAAACTTTTTTTATAAAAAAAAAAAAAAGTTGCTTGAAGTGAAATTATTTTATTAAAAATAAAATAAATAAATAAATACATTTTAATTTATTATAAAATTAAAATTGAGAAAAAGAAAATAAATAAAACGCGGTTTATTATTGGTCATTAATGAAAAGTTCGTCTTATAATAATAATAATATTAAGGTATGTACGTATGCATTACATCTCATTCGTTTTCTTATCATTTTAAGGTTTTAGAAATTTTTTTTTTTATTATTTTTCTTTTATTAAACTGTCGTACAGAATTTATTTTATATTTTCCCCTATTTTTTCTCCATTAAACACGATATTCTAATTCCAAATAAAAATTTTTCCATTTTTATTTATTTTTAAAGGTAAATGCAATATGGATGTGTACCAGATTTACTCAAACGCGAGACTTTTATGTTATTATTTTGCCGGTTTGTTTTTATTATTCATTATTTTTCGATACATAATAAAACGTATGATTTTCGTGCAAGGTTTATCGCCTATACCTGGACCATTTGGAATTCCTCTGTTGGGTAATTCATTGTCTCTTACCGGAGGACAAGATGGTAAATATTTTTCATCGACATATTAATTAAAAATTATTATATAAAATTTATAATAAATTAAATTTTTGTGAATTTTTTTTAAAAGATTTTTTCAGGCTTCTTTTAAATTATAGAAAAATTTACGGATCAATTTTTAAATTGTGGATAGGTATGAGACCTTTCGTATTTATTTCTGACGCACAATATGTTAGCCCAATATTGAATTCTAGCCTTCACATAGATAAAAGTTATGAATACACATTTTTACATCCCTGGTTAGGAACGGGATTACTCACGGCAACAGGTATGTTAAAGTTAAAATTTATTTTTTCTTTTTAACAAAACAACTTTGTCCTAAATATATTACATGTATGAAAAATTACGTAAAAGCACACACACACACACACATTTATATTTACATCATACGTAATTACATTACGAGTCCATAAATTTTTTTTCCATTGAAAAGCTTTAATAAGTGCAATAGTGATTAAATAAAAAAAAAAAAAAATTACGCGCATTAAAAAAAATATTTATTTGAAAGTTAAAAAAATAAGGCAGCCCTTTCCCATTCCCCCCCCCCATAATAATCGAGTTTTCCAGACTTTACCTGACGCACAATGCAGTTGAATGCACTTCAAGGTTAAATAAATCAAAAGTTCGTTGCCTCTTTAGACATGCAATAATTTTTGCCCACAAATGCATCAAGGTTGACAAAATCGAGAGTCCAAGGATAATTTTTTTTTTTTTGGCAAGTTTTTTTGTGTTGCAATAATTAAATATAACCTTTATAATATTTTTTACTGAAAAAAAATTACTTAATTTTTTTTTTCGACTACAATTTTTCACCTACTAAATGTATTTATTTGCATATATATATTTTCCTCATTAATTTTGTTAACCCTAATGGAAAAAAAAGAAAAAAAAATTCCATGAATCACCCTTGCTTTTCATTAAAAAAAAACAAAAACATACATACGTAATAATAAAAGTGCAATAATAGTAAAAAAAAAATTTCTCGAGAATAAAAAAAAAAAGGCAAAGCTCGTAAATAAAATTTCCCACCGATTGATTATGTCATAATTTCATTTTATTTTATTTAAAATTTCTGATCGTTATTTTCAAGGTCGCCTCCTTTTTTTTGAAACCTTGTATCTAGTAACCTACAGACCGAGAACTCCATTTAATGTTATCAACTTCTTTGTTTTTCAAAAAAAAAAAAAATTTTGTTTTTAAGGTTCTAAATGGCACAGTAGAAGAAAATTATTGACACCAACTTTTCATCACAGCTTATTAGAAGGTTTTATACAACCAATAATTGAAAAAAGTAAAATCCTCATAAGTTTATTGGAAAATGAAGTAGGTCAACCGCCATTCGACGTGCTTAAATATACTAAATTGTGTGCTTTGGATATTATATGTGGTAAACAAAAACGAACATTCATAATACATACAAGCATCCGTGCATATACACGTGTCTATATATCAATTTTGTTTTTTTTTTTTTTTTTCCAGTAACGGCCATGGGTAAAGACGTAAACGCTCAATTGTGTCACGGTACGGAATACGTTCAAGCAGTCGAAGGGTAATAAAATAAAATTTAATAAAAATCCCTTCTTAATAATGTTAATTTTTTTTTGGAAAACGACTCAAAGACTAATTTAAAATTTATCAATTTAAATTAAATAATCCCTCAAGTTCTTTTATAATTAAATTTTAATTAATAAGAAAAAAAATGTCACTCATTTAAAACGTAGTTGGGGAACTGATAACGATTATAAATAAAATATAGAAAATAATTTTTTTTTAAGGCTAAATAAAATACTACAGAGAAGGTTTATAACTCCATGGTTGAAACCAGATTTTATTTTTAAAAGATGTCAATTAGGTAGACAACAGGAAAATTACATAAACACGATTAATAATTTTGTATCACAAGTTATAGAAGATAAAAAAAATGAATTGAAAAAAACGGAAACGGAATCCGAACAAAAATCTACTAGTGAGTAAGAAGTTAAATTATTATCATTACTTCTTTTTTTTTTTTCTAATGAATGATGCAATAAATGTTAAAATTAATATGATTTTAAAGGAAATACCAGATTTTTTTCTTTAATGCCTGATGAGACCGTTGAAAAAAAAAATTTCATTTCAGGTAAACATCCGGCATTTTTAGATTTAATTCTTAAAACAAGAAAAGATGGGCAGGCCCTATCGGACAACGATATAAGAGAAGAAGTCAACACTTTTATGTTTGCCGTAAGTCATTTAATATTATTTATAAATAAATTTTTAAACAATTAACAATTTAAAAAATGATTAATTTTGAAAATGTCAAGTAAAAGATGATGAATTTTCACCAATAATATATATTTTAGGGTCACGACACGACTTCTGTGGCCATAAGTTGGTGTCTTTTTGCTTTGGGTAAACATCAATCGATACAAGTGAGAATAAATAATTTTTTTTGTTAATTTAGCAAAAGTTTTCACGATTTTAATTTTAAAAAAATTTTTTTTTTTTAAATAAAAAATACAGAAAAATATTTTAGAAGAATACGAAACTGTTGTTAAAAATAAAATTCCCACATTTGATGAAATACAAAAACTTGAATATTTAGAAAATTGCATAAAAGAAACTTTAAGATTATATCCTGTTGTACCTCTCATTGCAAGAGACATAAAACATAAAATTGACATTGACGGTAAATATAAATTAAATTTATTAATTTTTTTTTTGCTTTTCCCATATATATATATATACTATTATTAATATAATTATAATAATTATTACAGGAAAAACACGTCTTTTACCGGGTGTAACTGCTCTCATATTTACACCTTCCCTACATAGAGACTGTAAAGTTTTTCAAGAGCCAAACGAGTTCATGCCTGATAGATTTAAAGAAAACAAAACAAGAAACCCATTTTCCTACATTCCTTTTAGTGCGGGTCCCAGAAATTGTATAGGTAATCAATATAATTAAAAAAAAAAAAATTTTTTTCTTTCCGTTGAGACAAAAAAAAAAATATACATATATACATTTTTTTTTTGTATTTCAGGTGCAAAATTTGCCATGATAGAAGTAAAAATAGTTTTATATAACATTCTTAAAAATTACGAAATAATATCTGTAGATTCAGAAAAAGACTTAAATTTAATGTCCGAAATTGTTCTTTCGAATAAAGAAGGTATACGAATTATATTGGAAAAAAGAAAAAGAAAAATTTGTTTAGAATAACTCTTTTCTTTTTTTTTTTTAAATTTTATCATAATGACGACGACGACGACGACGACGTCGACGAATCGCGTCACGTTTTTATTTTCGTTTATAAATTTTATATACGGTCAAAAAAAAAATAAATAAAAAAACTTAATTTAATTTAAAATTTTAATAAATTATATTAAAAACAATTTTTAATATACATTTTTACTTATTTTAATTTCCGAGCCATCATCAATCAATCATTTAACATTAAAAAAAAACATTCATACAATCAATCAATCAATCAATCACTTAATAATGAAAGAAATAGCTTATTTTTATTTGAGATCCAACCTCTGCTCTGCTCAACGGAAAACTATTCACGTTAAAAAAAAATTTTTTTTTTTTTTTTTCTGGGGGGTAAAATTTAACGTTCAGCAGCAACAACTTATTATAATAAATACAAAAATGAATTACATGAGAAAAAAAAAATAATAATGATAATGATAATTAACGTAAATTAATTAATTTTTTTTGTTCACCCATATTTAATATTAAATTAAAATTTTCTTTCGACCAATAATATTTAACGACTAAAAATTATTTTTTTAATTATTATTTTCGTCCTAAACGATAAATTAATTCCATCTATATAGTCATAATAACTTTCATTAACATTTTATTATTATTATTATTATTTCATTTAAGATGTCAACAAAGACTTCATACACAAAACACCCCCTCCCCACCCCACCCCCCGCGATTTTACGTTTATTTAAGGCACGAAACAAAAAAACATTTATTGCGTTGCATTGAGAGGTTTTAATAAGTGATAATAAAATATTAAAAAAAAGGGAATTAATAGGAATGCCTAATTAATAAATTTCATATAATAATATAATATTAAACGATTACTTTTCCTAAGGCACTGCGTTTCACCTCAATCAATCAATCAATCACAACAAACGAGTCAAATATTATTTAAATAAATATTTGAGTTAAAAAAAAAAAAAGAAATTATTTTTTTCCTAAATAAAACTAATGTAAAAATATTTAAACGATATAAATGAATAAAGCTTTTGGGTTTTTCTCTCTCTCTCTCTCTCTAATGACTGAACAAACTGAACTTGAAAAAAATAAAATAAAATAAAAATCTAATTTTTTTTTTTTTAACGTTATGTGTTCATTATCAATTTCTTCCCCTCCCTCCTCGTCTAACATATATATATATATATTTAAAAATAAGTTAATGAAATAAGTACAAAAAAAAAAAAAAAAAATTATTGAAAAATTGGAATGTTTTAAAAAAAATTAAATTAAGATAAAAATAATGAAATAATAATAATAATAATAAATGGAAATAATAGCAGTGAATGTGAATTTTCACTCAGTCTTAACATTAAATTAACAATAAAAAAAAAAGAAACATTTGAGCTCCAAATTTTTTCTAGAATTATTTAAATATAAAATAAAATCACAATAAGTATTTAACTTGGACATACCCCTTTGATAAAAAAAAATTCTACTAATCACTGCACTAAACTATAAAAAATGTTTTTTTTTTTATTTTCTATTTCAAAAATAATTCAAAAAATAATTATTATCATTATTTTCAAAATTCATTGAAATTTTCTTTTTCTATTTCTTTTTTGTAATTAAGGCAGTGGAAAGAAATATTAAGGGATTTATTGTTCGTTTTTAAAATATTCAAAGGCACCATAATAACAATAGCAATAGTAATAGTAATAATAATAATAATAAAACTTATTGATTTCTTCTAAATAAAAAAATCAATAGTCATTAAAAATAAAAAAAAAATAAAAAAAAAACTAATAATTATACTTACCAATATAAGTATTGGCACTTTGATTTATTTTACGTTCATCTTGTTCCTCGGTTTTCGTTTCGTACGGATAACAATTATAACTTTAATTTATTAAAAACTTTTTTTTTGTTTTTTCAACACCACGATTCGGATGCTGGTCCTGTGTAATGATCACTTTCGTTGTCACTCGGTTGCTCACCGTACATGTCAGCAAGTTTACGGAACCTCGGACCGAAATTTGACAAATAATCAAAATCCAAATCCTCTTCGTCTGTGCAAGAAGCCAGAGAGGATAATGATCCTATGCTGTTCCCGTCTCCTTCATACATGTAATGGCGAACATCGTCGAACGGATTCGTTTCCGGATCGTTATCGACAGATTTTTTCTTACCATCCAAAAATCCACATATATCAGGAACTTCATTAAGACCTGTAAAATATAAAAAAAAATTTTTTTTTTTTTTAACGTAAACTCAAAGTTTTATAAATAATAAATGTAAAAAAAATTGATCCTGATAATTTTACCTTTTCCCTGCAAACAGTCTTTTATAGGAGTCTTTTCGGTGATTTGTTGGCCGTCGTTGTCGTACATTAGACGTAATACGTTGAGATCGTAGCCGGTCATGTCACCTTCACCACCACCTTCGTCTTCATAATTAATTATGTTTTCTCTTATGTCGTCAGCATCTTTGTATAAATCATCCGTTTTTCTTCTTTGTACCACAACAGCCAATAATAATACTTAAAAACGAAAAAGGATTTATTACTATTATTTTTTTAAAAGCCATTTAATACCATTTGGTGTATGAATGAATATGATTAATTTTTGTCTTTTAAATAATATTATTTTATGTTTATATGGATATACATATACCTTTCTTTTACAATTAAAAAAAAAATTAATAATCGTACAATACTTACGTAGTAATATAGCTATGCATACAAGAATGGCAACTATAAAATTTGTATCGATTCCAAATGAATAAGCAGTTGCTAATCCTTTGCTACAACCTATATCTACATTTTTCGATAGTCCAGGCATTCCTAAATTATAAGTCTAAAAAAAAATTAAAACAAAAGAAATTTAAATTTTTTTTTCATTTGCTTTGCGAGAGAGAGAGAGAGAAAGAAAATAAAAAATATGACTATATTGCACACACCTTTCCGTTAAATGTAAGATTACTAATACAACCGGCAAAACCCGTAGACATGGGTTTAAAATTCCAATTCATTGAATCAGCAATTTCGTTTAAAACTACGGCAGACCCTCCTAGTTGAAGGGGTCCGTTCACATTTAAATATTCATTTTTTCCTAATGGTGCAGTCAGACTTAAACATGAAGATTTTCGACAATTATCCACTTGTAGTTCAATACTCTAAAATATTAACAGAAAAAAAAACGAATTAATGTTAACGTGTATTAATTTAATATCGATTAGCAGATATAAATAAATTAAAATGAAAACTCACGACGTTTGTCCATATAATATCAATATGATGCAAAGCTCCATCAGTTAATTTTATTTCTGTGTGATTGGCTTGAACGGTGCCAGAACCATAATCGACAAGAAGTCGAGGATATCCATTTTGAATTTCAAGTGCCATAAAATCTTCATGTGAAAAAAAAAAAAAAAACAAAAAAAAATTATGAATTACAACTGATAATATTATATTCATTATTATTTATTTTTTAAGTAATTATAAAAGGAAAGGAATAATAAGGAATTTAGTAAAATAGAAAACGTACCTTGAACTCCCAAAGTGTTTGATTTTTTTAAGGGACCTATATAAAATACAAGTCCATCCCCTCTTTCTGGTCTAATATCTAGAGACAATTTCGATTCTTCACAAGCATCAAAAGGTGGGTAAAGAGCCCATCCATTTCCGTAAAATCCAATATTAATAAGCTCACACCGGGGCCCTTCAAAACCTTCGGGGCAAACGCAACTGCAAAAATTAATAAATTTTGATTATGTATCAGCGGTGTAAAAAATAATAGCAAAGGATTATTAAGTTGAGAGGTAGAAAGTAGAGACAAGAATTTACCTATTTTCCAATGGAGTACCACCATTAAGACATATTAAACGCTCTAAAATAACACAAGTGCAAAGAGGATCAACAACGGCTCCGATGCCAACAAATGAGCTCGTGTTGGTGTAAACAGCATGAGGGATTTTGCTTTTATTCAAAAAATTGACGCAAGATGTTTCGCAAGAAGTTTTTTCATAAAGGCATTCATCAATGTTTATCATCACAATATCAAGATTTAATTCGTTTTCCAACTAAAAAAAAAAAAAAAGTTTATGAATTACACGTTTTTATTCCTTTTTATATATACTATACACTCTCACAGAATTGAAATCTTTGATACAAATGGTAGCCTAAATTCGTACAAAATCCGTAAAACTTATAGACACAGCTTAAAAGAGATTTTAACTAACTGGGAAAAAGCAGAGCTTTGAAAAATTATGAAAGAAAAAAAATCGATAGCTGTATTTGAACTACCACAGACCCATGAGAAACTTATTTAATTATGAAAAATTTACCTGTTCCTGAAATTTCGACGCCATAAAATTCAATTTTTCAGGATGATAATAAGGGGAACCATGAGCGGAAAAACGAACATCCAAAAGTGAACGATTCGCGTTGTGATGAGAGTGAAGAACAGTAAATACGTCCACATTTTCAACACTGACATTTAAAATTTTAGCCAAACGGTTTTGTAACAAATCCCTTTTACTAAAACCATTCTGTAATAAAATCGTTTCGAGTTAATTTTTTTTGTAAAGTAAATAAATGATAAACTTTTTATTATTATTATTAATAAATTACCACAGGTGTGACGAATTCTTCAGCAGTTATACCCGCGAACCTAATAGAACCAGAACTATCCACCGCTTCTTCAGGAATTTCTTTAACAGTTACATTAACAACTGCATCGACTGAATGACGGGTCACAAAACTAGATTCTTCGGTGACTATAAAATTTAATGTAAACGTAGCATTATTTGTGCCTTCTTTCATAGTTATCATACCGGTATCTTCATTCAAAAGAAAATTAGGGTGCTCGGTTTGAGCCCAGGAAAAAGTTTTATCTGGAAGATCCCAATCGTCTGGATCTTCTACGTAAACTCTTCCGATGGGTGTGTCCGGAGCTTCTCCCTGTAAATAATTTTTTAATTTAGTTGAATAATAATATAAAATTTTAAAATAATTTTGAATTGATGTAAAGACATTAAAAAAATTATTTTACCCTGTAATTGTAAACGAAAATTCTACTCTCTCCTCTCTTCATTGGATTATCGTTTTCATCGCTCACTATCAAAGTTACAGTACTTGTACCAGTTTGTGAAGGATTTCCAGAATCGGAAATTGCTATTGGTATAAAGTACTGTTTTTGTTCTTCTCTGTCTAAAGTTTTAAGGGCTTCCAATGAAGAGCCACTTATGGCAAATTTAGTTTTAATATCATCTGAAGCAGAAACATCTATTCGAAAAGTAAAAGGTGGACCATTTTCTTCACTGTCCAAATCTTTAGCTGCTAATGAAGCAATAGTGCCAGGAGGAGTATTTTCTTTCCAATACACTGGATTTATCTATATTAAAGGGAAAAAAAAAAAAACATTTAAGCAATCTTTTTAAAAAGAAAAATTTTCTGAATTTTATTTAACAAATAACAACTCTTTTACGTAAAACTTACCTTTGAATCCAAGAACGGCGCATTATCATTTATATCCGTGAGAACAATTATGACTTCCGTACTTTCCCGAAGACTAGTTTTACTATTTCCATCTTCATCAGAGGCTGCTATTATCACTTGCCATATAGGAAACCCATTGGGAGGATCTCTATCCAAAGGCTTTATCAAAGATAAACACCCATTTTTATCGATGGTAAGTAATTTTTTCTGATCTTCTTTTACAACAAAATAAGCAATGTGCTGTGGAGCATTTCTATCGGGAATATCCGGATCATAGGCTGTTATATTCGTGATGCAACCTTTGACCAACATTTCCTCAGGTATCGTGATATTATTGAGATAGTAATAAAAAACGGGGGGATTGTCGTTGACGTTTTCGATTTCGATTTCTACAAAAGCATTGTCCGCATACGCACCATCGAAGGCTCTCACAGAAAGATTATACTGTCAAAAAAATCGAATATTTTTTTAGAATTTTATTATAATTATTTATCTTATTTAAAAACCCTACTTATTTTTTATAATTAATAAAAAATTACTCACTCGAGTTATGTTTTCATAATCCAAAAGATTTTTTATCTTGATTTTTCCGGTATTTTCTTGAATGAAAAATGCATCGTAAGTATTTCCTCCGATTATTTCATACGTTACTGAAGAAGAGGTATCATTATCTACGGCTTTAACTTGCGCTACCAAAGAATAAATGTTGGCGTCTTCTCTGATACCAGTTGCCCTATATATTTTTTGGGTAAACCTGGGAGGATTGTCATTTTTATCTGCTATTTCTATGCGAAACACCTGTTCACCTTTGTTATGTTTTCCCGTTGAATACAAAGCCGAAGGAGAGTTATCGGTAGCAATGACTTTAACATTATAAAAATCCTTTTGCTCTCTGTCGAAAACGACCAGAGTCGTTATATTCCCTGTATTCGGATCAATAGAAAATAAATTTGTATGATCCGCCAAAACATAAGTTACCTGGAAAATAAATCAAACATTTTTCATTTAAATAATTCATATTATTGTCAAAGAGAAATTTATAAAATACAAAAAGTATTTAATTGTTATAAACAATTAGTATTTTACTTTAGGATAAATTAAATAAATATAAATTTTATTACTTGGTTGTGAGCAGATGTTCCATCAGCATCAATAGCTCGAACTTGCATTACGGGCGTTCCAGCGGGTTCTTTTTCCAGTACAGATCCGGAAAATACTTCAGTAAATGCCGGAATATTGTCATTAACATCTTCTACGTGAATCATAATTTGAGTTTCCGAAGCAAGATTATATTTGTTTTGAACACGTAATGTTAAAATATATTCAGTGACACTTTCGTAATCTAAATAACCTCCGAGTTTTATCTGGGCCTGTTCGCCCTCAACAGCTAAAACGAAAGTGTTTCCCTTATTAGTTTGCTCCGTCCGACCAGAAACTAATTCAAACAGTAATTCATTTTCTTCTGGAATGTTGGACCTGTTTTCAAAAAAAAAAAGAACAATTTTATAATAATTGAATAAATGATTTGAAATAATAATTGAATTAATTTAAGGTTGTACTTACTCGGCTGTTATTATAACAATAGGCGTTGTAAAATCTGAACTATTTTCATTGATACTAATATCCGGATATAAAATTTCTTTAAAAGTAGGCGCCTTTTTATGGGATTCAACAACTGTTATTTCTAAATCAATGCTAGCACTTAATGGTTTGTCTCCACGATCTGTTGCTTTCGCCATCATTCTAAATTTATAATTCGGATCCCTCTATAGACAAAAGAAAATAAAATTTTTAAAATAATTTATTTTTAAGCACATGTTAAATATTATTTAAGTTTGAATGTATAAAAATTTAAAAATAAAATGATAGTTTTCAAATAAGTATTAAAAAAATTTTCTAACGATTCCATGAAAAAAAAACCTATATTTTTTGACTCGCCATAATTCAAGAGAATTTAATGAAGATTATAAAAGATAAAATTTATCGTTCCCACAGAAAAAAAAAAAATTGAGGTCTTACATTAATGCTTTTATTTAAGTATATATATCCACTGGTGTTGTCTATTTTAAAATAGCCTTCGTCTTCTCGAAATTTAGCTTCCAATTCATAATAAACCAAACTATTATTTCCATTGTCGATGTCAGTGGCGGATATTCTCATAACTTCATTTCCCACTTGAAGGTCTTGAGGTACTGACTCCATATAATTCTAAATGTCAAAAGTGAGTAATTTTAAATATTAATTTTTCTTTAAACAATAAAAAAATAAACACTTAAATAAAGTGCAAATAGTATTTTAATAATATAATTTAAAATTCAAGTTAAAATGTCCTTTCAAATATATATATAAAATATAATAATAAACTTACAGCTTTATCGAAGAAAGGTGAATTATCATTTATATCTTCTATAGTAACTTTTATTAAACAAACGTCGTCCAATTGTGGATGTCCATTATCAGTTGCTCTGACATTTAAATAAACTTCTTTTTCTCTCGTGGGTTCATCTCTATCAAAAACCTGAAAAAAATTATAAAATTTTAAACTTTGCTCACTACTGCTATTACTATATTTTAAATTTAATACGAAACTCTTCTATCTGATAATTATTGCTTTTCCCCCACCCCCTAAATTCAGAAACAATAAAATTTAGGTAGCACACAAGTTCCAGAGAAAAACGTATATGTATATATATATTTTAATAAATATAGTTTATTTTGAGATTATTTATTTATTTTGTTTAATAAATAATGAGAGGAAATGATATTAGATTAAAATTAATTTAATTAAAACTTACATATTGTGTGCGGATGATTCCGGTGTCGGATTCTATAGTAAATCTAAGTCTCTCTCCAGGAGACGAAACAAACGTGTAACTAATTTTACCGCCATTTTCGATCGGATCTTTATCTATGGCTTTTACTTGAAACACAAACGTTCCAACAGGTTCTTCTTCCTTTACGGAAGGTTGGTATTTTGAACAATTTATAAATTGAGGTTTGTGGTTGTCTTGCACAGTAAGTTTTGGCTCGAGTAAAAATTGATTTGGCTTTAACAAAAAAAAAAAAAAATAGAAATTTCATTACATTAAATTTCAAATTATTCACTAATATATATATATATATATATATATATATATATATATATCAATTTTTAATATTAAAAAATAAAAAGTAACAAAAATAAATATGTATGCATGCATGTATATATTTACTCTATAAGAAATATCATCCGAAGGAAATGTATTAGAACTTCGAACTATAACATCTTTGGAATGACGAAGTTTAGAATTTACATCTGAAGACATGGTAAGATCATTAAAATCATCTGAAATTAAAAAAATAAAAAAAAATAAAAATTAATATCTCAACACGATTTTTAAAACGAAACATTTCGTTTTTTTCCTTTTTTTTTTTTATTTAAAAACTATTTATGGTTATTTAATATTTACGGAAAATTTACGTAAAATTTATCGGTGAGTAATGTTCTATTAAAGGACATATGTTCATCATGAGAACAAAAAGTACATATATTTTTTGTATAATTCAAATCGAAACAAATTATTTACTCTCTGTAGTTTAAATTTTTTTTCCGAATAGCTTTTACAATACAATACTGTTAAATTAAATTTGAAACCCTTGTGAAATTTGTTTACAAACTTTTATCTAATCTTACAACATTGATAAGATTAATAAAGTTTGATTTTTCATGAAAATTCAAAAAAAAATTTCTTTTTTTTTTTTTACTATTATGAGTATTCTTAAAAAAATAAAATTTCATTTCAGTAAAAAATGAAAAGATCAGAGAGCACAAAAACCTTAACCGGATTCATTCAATTAATGAATGATTCGTTAAACAAACAATAATAAAATTAATAATGTTTTATTTTCCATATATATATATATATTTTACATAATAAATTTACCTTATAACTTAAAAGGATTATTTTCATTATTAATTTGTTTACAGCATGTAATTTTTTTTATTTGTTAAATATGTTATGAATAATAAATAGGTAAACAAATGTATTATTATTCATATCACAATATATATGTACATGATTCCGATTCACTTCTTTTGCAATTTTTATTAAAAATTTTCAACTGAAAATTCATTTATTAATATAATAAATAATATATAATATATAAATAAAATTAATAGAAATAAATTTTTTTAAAGCGATCACACAAAGGATTTAACCGATAATAATAATTTTTTTAAAATCTTCAATATTTAATAATAAATTTTACATCAACCTACAAGTTATAATATTTAAAAATAAAATGTTTTAATTCGAGTTTAAGAAAAAAAAATAAAAACCTTTAAATTATTACTAAATAATATTGTAATTATGATAAAAAATGAGTAGGCTTGAAAAAAAAATTGATTCATGGTTTTTTTTAGATTAATCAATTTCAATCTAATGCGTAGAATTTCGATGAAAAATAGCTTTTGTTTCAGTTTGGAAAAATAGCTTTACACAGCCTCTCTCTTTCTCTTTTTGTCTAGGAGAAGTCAAGTTTAAGATTATAAAAATGATTAGGAATGAGGAAGAAAAAAAAAAAAAAAAACAAGAAACAGAGTAATTAAATTAACAATCTTTTCCTTATCCAAACTTTTTATTTTTTCAGGAAGTTTCGTAATGCGAAAAAAAAAAAAAAAAACGAGGTAATCGCTTGGCGCCGGATCCAGATTTTTCGATGGATCCATTAAAATTTCTCAAACAAGTTTCCCTGAGTCACAGACGGCGTTGACCTGGCATATTCCCGATAAAATACAATACCTCTTATATATATATATATATATATATATATATATATGTGACAATTCTACCCGTTTCTGACCGATCCCTAACTTACAATGATACAGTTAGTATTAAAAACAAAAGTAAAAGTTATTATAAATTTTAAAAATTCAATCTTTAACAACCTTTCGTTTAAGAAAAGGATTTTAATTTTTTAACGAATGGAAATTCCATTTAAAACCTTTTTTTTTCAATGTTAATTGGTGTTGCAGTCAAACATTAATCTTTTTTTTTTTTTTTTTTTTGAATACAGAACTGCGTAAAAAATAATTTTTAATCTGGTTTGATCAATTTTGAATTTCTAAGATACTCAACTACTATAATTTCTATGATTAATTATTTAAAATGACACCTATAAATTTAAAATTAATATTCCTGAAATTTTATCGGCATTTTGTACCTCCTGTAAGGCATTCGAAACAATGAAAATGCCAGGAAGAAATTAACCAGAATTGCACGTGTTTATGGCTGTGTGTTTAATGTAAATATTATAAACACTGTATTGAATTCCCGCCTGACTTGCATTTTCATATTTATCAAGAAAATATTTATTAATTGCAAATGTTTGGGATTTTGTTTTATTGATTTTCATTTTTATCAACTCATAATTAAAAATTGAATGTTACGAACTAAGAATAAATATGAATTTTTTATACTTTAAACAATTGTATAAATCAAAAATTTTTTGATAGATGCTTTCAGACATACATATTATTATAATCATGTGTAATTTTTACGCATTTCATTTTTTATTAAAACAATAGCATAAAGGCGCCTTTTTAACACAAGACCCTAACAAATATGTATATTTTTTTTTTCATTTATGTTATTACCGCAAAAGGCAAAAATTTACCGTCCTGTAAATTAGAAATTAAAATTTAAAAATAAAAACTTATTCATAATAGTTTATTGGAAAATTAAAAATTAGTCTGACCGCATCCTTTTGCCACAATCAACGCGTCACGCAACACAAAAATGATAAAATTTTTTTTTTTTCCTATTTTAAAGAGAAAAATAAAAACAAAAGAAAAATTATTTAGTCATAAAACAATAGATGTGATAAATAAGAATAAAGAAACTTTTTCAATTGCATTAGGAAAAAAGTAAGACATTATATATGCATATATTAATTCTTTTCTCTGTCAACCTTATTAAAAACACAAAATTTATTAATTAATATTTTAAATATAAATATTATGTAAATGCTATATTTACAATAACTTATAGTAATATATTAAAATACATGAATATCAATGTTAAAGGATTTAGAATAAATCTTTTGTATCAACGTTTCAACATTATTTAAAAACAAATTATTGGTTGACCTAATTACGTAACATACATATTGTTTTTTTTTAAATATTTTTATTAGCTCACTAAATGATTAGGACAATAATAACCCATAGATAATGTATGAAAAAAATTTAATTTTCTTGTTGCATATTTTTTTGAAAACTTTTTAATTATTTTCTATAAATCTGTGTACTTAGTGCTGGATTTTATTCCTTTGAAAATCATTTAAAAATTTATAATAATTAAAAAAAAAAAAAAAATCTCATGGGTTTATTTTGTAAAATAAGAGCTATCAAAAGAAAAAGCACAAAATAAACTAAATTTATAATTATATAAGGGAAAAAAAAAAAAAAGAAAAAAAAAATTCGTCACTCACATTCCATTTCATTTCATTGCATTTCATTCGATTACTCACGTGTGCGTGAGTCATTCGCCATGATGAAATTAATAAGAAAAATCTCAATCATTCTTATGATTATGACAAAAAAAAAAAAAAGTTAACGAATGAAAAAAAAATTTTCTATTTATTCATTGATCTTTTCACTTTCTTTTTTATTGGTAATTTTCACACTTTGAATAAAAAAAAGTTTTTGTCGTTCTACTTTTTAGAAATTCGGGCGTTAAAATTAACAAAAAAAAAAAATCAACTCGCAACTCTTGCAATTTCAATTAGTATTAACTTGTTAATAATAATATATTTTAAACCCGTAGCTAAATATCCAGTTTGATTATTGTTTTTAAGGTATAGTTTTTTATGTAACAATAAAAACTTGGAGTTTTATTTAAAATTAAATATAACCTGAGTCTAAGAAAATGTCTGCATCACTTTAATTCAGTATTTGTTGTCGATTACTAAATTTTACATTTTTTATATATATTATGTGTTTATATAATCTTAAAAATTTTTTTAGTACCGGTAAATTTTCGAAAGGTCAATAATTTAATACAGATTAATTTTATTAATGATAAGAAATGTAAAAACGATTAATTATTATATATATATTTCTTATACATCAACAATAAAAAATCATATATATTTATTTTAAATATTTTAAAAATGCATTTATGCCTTTTATTTTATGAATTAACCTTGAATAGTTTCATTATCCACGCATTTATTACCAACTATTTCAAATTCTTTTATGTAGTAAAAGAATTTTTTTAAATCAAGAAATTCTAGAGTAAATATTAAATAAATTTCTACTCATTTAAATACAAAAAAAAATTAAAATAAATACAACTATCGTTTAAATTTTTTTTTTTTTTCAGGTTAAAGACTCCGGAAAATGCATTGAGAAAAAAAAAACAAAACCATAAATTTCACTTTAAATATTAATAATTATCGTTACCAAGATAATGGCGTGACGTCTGACGTCATTAAATCAAATGAACTTGTGACATCATTTCATTTTCAGGCTCACATTTAAAAAAAAAAAAAAAAAAAAAAAAAAGGTCACAGTTAAGTGAGTTATTTTAACTTCAGGGATGTAATTAAGGAATGTTGAACATCAAATTTGAAAATAATTTACCAACGTAAAACAAAACAAACATCAAATGAGTAAAATACATTCATTTACTGCTTGTACTGAAATACAAAAAAAATTTTTGTTCTTTTTAAACAATTGAAATGAACACAAAATATCGCATTTACATATAATATAGAAATATATAAAATTTTCCTATTGTGATTTTGAACAAACATTAAAAATTTTTAATTTACTATAAAAAAAAAAAGAAAAAGAAATCTTTTGTTTGTATCTGAGATTTAAATATATTAAAAAACGAGCTTGAGATTATTAAAATAAAAATTCAAAGAATCGATGACAACCAACAATAAATAAATGAAACCTATATTCAATAGATGAATCAACCTGGGAAAAAAAAAATTCCTCTAAAATAATAATAACTTCCTTTTTAAAAAAAATTTCTTATAATTGCGGTTTTAATGCAAAATTTGAAATATTAACATAACAAATGAAATTTTTTATTTTTTAACAAAACAATTACGTAAATTTTATATATATATATATATATAAATGTTAATAAAACTAATTTCAAAGAAATTTAAATTTTCTTTGATGAATTAATGTATTGTTGATTAATAAATAAGGTAAAGTAGTGCCTTACAAAGTTAAGATTGCAAATTAAACATTTTATAAATATTAAATGATAGGTATATATTTTTTCAAATTTTGAAATTTTCAACTTGTAATAAATTTTCTTTGATGAAAATATTTTTAAAAAAATTAAAGTCAAATTCCAACAAATATATTAAATAATAATATATTTCCTAAAGTTTATAATAATACAGTAGCTTAGTTAAAATGTTTTTTCAAATTTTATACAACTTAGAATTAAGCGGGAAAAAATAATAGTCAGAATCTCAATTAATTATCTGTCATTTTGCAACAAAAATAAGGATTTAATTTTAATAATTATAGTTGCTCGACATTAAATTACTGACCGTTTAACTTTTTTAAAAAAATTTTAAATAAGACTTTTTGATAACAATCACAACAATGGTTTTGCTCTTCTATTAGACCTTAACTTAAAAATTTTAGTTTAAAAAATAAGTAAGTAAAAGTAAATAAAATAAATGAATAAAGATTTAAAAAATCAAAACAATATGATAAAAAATAAAAGAAGTAATTAATAATAATAATAATAATAATAAAAAGAGGGTAATGGTTATTCAAGTGGATAGAAGCTCACAGGATGAAAACTAGTAATGTCATGCATGTTTAAGCTGCAACCAAATCCCCTTCTTCTAATGGTCAATGACCCATTCAAGAAATAACCAAAAAAATTTTATGACAATTTAAGAGTTTTATGTATCAAAGTCGAATTTTACCGAAATTTAAATTTTTTAAAAATAATATTTGATTAGTAAATAATGATTATTTTTTAATTTCTCTTTGTTACATTCAAAATAATCAAAATACTTAATTATTACTTGAAGCGTTAAATTAAATACATAATAGGCAGGCACGTTTTACAGTGTAATTTATAAGCATAAAGTAGTGCATAGTAAAGTGGAATAATTGATTTTAATTTTAAATATAATATTAAATAATATTTATTAACTGAAAAACAATGATTTTAAAAGCAATGCTTTTTATTGCAATTAATAAGTTAAATTTAATTATTAGTCCTTTTAAAATTAACGAATAATTTGTCATCAATGTGATTTAACCTTTTAAATACATAATTAAATAATTCTCGTTTTAATGTATTTTAAAAGACCATAACACTCAAAAACATCCTTTCCCTAATTAATGAGATTTTTTTTTTTTTTTTGTCAATAAAGTGAGGTACCCTTATTTAAACTTCAATATAATATTATTAATACTTTAAAAAAAAAAAAAAGAAATTTAATTTATAGTGAATTAAAATTTAAATTAATTATTATTTTCATGTGCATTTTTATGTGTGAGTGTGTGTTTGTATCTATACACATAAAAAAATTAGCTAAAATAATAATAATAATATTTAACAAGGAAAAGTGAAAGGTTCTCACAAATAAATGATTAAATTTAAAAATAAAAAAAAAACAATCAAATAGTATATACAAGAAACGTACCAACCATATTTTTCGATAAAACTTTATATATTAGTCAACTAAAAATTTTAAAATTCCTTAAAATTTACGGAATCATATTTTATATCGTAAATAAAAAATTTTTAAGAAATAAGAGATATTCCGGAGTTGGCAAGGCATACATGCCAAAGTATATAATCATGAGTAGCAAATTACGGTGTTGCCGATTGTGCATAGGCGTGGGGTCAGTATATCAGGTAGCCGTTTATTTCTTACATTTTTACAGGCGTCCCTACTTTTAACACTTATGCAAATTTATTATTTTTTGTTTTAAATAATTGGAAATTTTAAACAATTTAATTTCAATTTGGCAGACATTTTTTTTTCTTTTTCAACAATACATTAATACTCATATACCGAGAATAGTATTAAATATTAAAAAATTATTAAATTGTCTTTTTATGCTTTGAGTATTTAAAAGAAGCAAAATAAAATGAGTAAAAAAAACTTCCGTTAATGCAATAAATAATTTTCTACTTACTTTGGAGAGCTAAAGACTGTCCAATAAAAATGATCTCTCCTAAAATGACACTTAAAAAAATGACACGCTTAAATTTATAGCACTCGTTTCGTTTCATATTGCATGCCCAATATTCAACGTGACACATTAAAATTATTTACAAAAAAAAAATATGAAAAAAGTTTTTCACGAAAAGGTTTTTTTAACTGTATATCTTTAAAATTATATCCTCAACGTCCTCATGTTGGCAGATAGATTCAACTGTCTACCCAATAGGCATCATATTGCAATTTACAGGTAACACATTCACTCGTACACGTTTATTATTTAACAAATTAATATGAATAATAATATTTAAAATACAGTAAATAATTTCTACATATACTTTTTATATGTAAGTGTTCACAAATAAGTATTACTCAAAAGTTAAAATTTGAAGTATCTGGGTAAACGGTAAACACAAGCGTAGACAAGCCCACGAAGTAGGAATTATAATGGTCTATGTTGTAAAATTTAAAACCGCTACCCGATGGCGGCTTCACGGCGCTGTCACAAACTCACTTTTACTAACTCAAACCGAGAACTGCCTAATGCAAGAATACTGAAACCAGAAATCACACCTCGGAAGTCTTCGGAAAACTTCGTCCGAGACCGTTTTTTATTTAAACAAAATTATTATAAAACTTAAGGTGTAACGAAAAGGCTCATATTAAAGGTTTTCCTATATCCAAACAAGCAATCGAACTAAATATATTGAAAAAAAAAATGACGTTCTTTAATCATTTCTTAAATATTAAATACTTTTAAAAACATTAATTTTTTTTTTTTATTTTCCACTGTTTTTTTGAATGTTTAATTTATCAAAAAAATATTTATGTAATTTTTGAAATTAATATTAATTCCAAACTATTGATTAATTCGAGGCTAGACAAATTAAAATCTAAGCTGAATCCAAATTATTAATAAAAATTAGTCATGTAATAAGTACCGGTATGGGTATCAATAATAAGAAAATTTGAAAGTTTAAATAATATTAAAAAAGAGGGAAAAAATATTTCATTCATAAATTAAGGAAAAGTAAATAAAATATATACAAATATTTGTTTATACAACAATAAATGTAAATATATTTAATAAAAAAACAATTCAAAATACAACAGCTTTTTTAAGTTAAAAAAAATGTAACCACTATTTAAACTTTTAAAAATTAATTTGCAGTAAAGAATAGAAATAATTAAATAATAATTTTTCTTTTAGTAACTTAATATAAACAAAAAAATTTAACATAAATTGTAAAATAAAAAATATTTAATTAAAAATAAAATTAATTATTAATTATTAATTAATAATTAAAATTATTTAATTATTAATTATTTAAAAAATAAAATAAAAATTTTTAATCTTGTGGATTAAGAATAACAGTCACAAAGTTATAAAAAATAATTTTTAAAGTTGGCACTATGTATAAATAATTTATGTTGGTAAAAATATTTCTGTGTATTGCCAACTTTGTTTTTAACTTTAAAAATTTTAAAACATTAACAGTTTGCAATGGAAGCTAGTTCGGAAGTGGTAATTTTAATAATATTAAATACAAAATAATTTTTTTAGATAATTTAAATTAAATAAATAAATATTTAGTTATTAATAAATAAATATTAAGTTATTAATAAATAAATATTTTTTTTAGGGCGGTGAAGGATTATTAGCCGGAGCTAGTTTGTTAACTCGACCTGCTGAAGAATTTGAAAATGATGTAAGTTTTTTAAAAAAAGTATTTTAATTATATAGATCCTAGTAGAAAAAAAAAAAAAAAAAACAATTGACAATTTTCAGGCTGCTGTAGAATTAATGTGGGCTAAAAAAGCTTTTGAACATGCTGAGATATATTTTAACGTAAGTGATTTCTGTCATGCTTTTGGCATGCTAATTATTTGCCACAAGTTACCCAAATTATTTCATATTAAATGGATTTTTAAGATATTGTTTTAGATTTTATGTTCAGTTGATTCCAGTTTGTTAAAGTTAACTCCTAATGATGAAGAAATATATCAATTATTTAGGCAAGTTTTTCCGGATTTTTGTGTTTCCGTTATTAATGAAGATGAAATGAAATCAACTGCTCAAAAGGAGGTAATATAAATTTCAGTTAAAATGTACAAAATCACTCAAAATTGCTCTTAAATCATTCAAAGTTATCAAAATTTTATTTACAGAAATGGAGAGAATATTGTTTATTTTTTAAAGATAAAGTTGAAGATTATAGTTTTGGAACTTTACTAAGAAAAGATTGCACAGGAGATTACACTGAAGAAAACAGTATTTTAGTGACTAAAATTCAATTTTTAGCTATTGAACTAGCCAGAAACAGGGAAGGCCTAAATGATTCGGTGAGAATTAAATACAGTAAAAAAAATAGTAATACTAATAAAATAAATACTGTATGAAGTAAATATCATTGCTGTGAATATTTATTTATTTTTTTTTCTAAATAAATTTTTTTCAAATTTACTTAGTTTATAATGCACAATTTACAAAAATTTTATTAAATATAAAAAAAAATAATAATAATCAACTCAATTCGAAAGAAAAGAATTGTCGTGTAGTTAAAATAATTTGGTTTTTATTATTTAAAACTATTATTTTTATTTACTTCAATTATATATGTCACCAAAGTTTAAAAAAAATTTAACGATAATTTGAAATCAGTTCAGAAACAGTTTTAAAACAATATTATTTACTATAATATTGTGTATTACTCCCATGCATGCAGATTCTTTAGTTTAAATATTTTTTAAACTTAACAATTGTAGAAATTTCTCCTGAAATACTAAGATAAATTTATTTCCAAAAGTTAATGTAACAATATTGTTTGACTTAATTTTATTACAATTTATAAAATACCTTCAAGCAGATTTAGCACTTCATTCTTCATGAATGAATCTGTAACAAAATTGAGGATGTAGGTAGTTCACTCACACTACTTTAACAAAATTGATTTTTTTCATTGGCCTGCCTATGTTCAAGTTTCTAAGTAAAAAAAAAAAATGTATTTCGGTTAATAATTATAATTACAATAATTTAAACTTAGCAGAATCACATATAATTTAATTTTGTAAACCAATATTTACTCTTAAAAAATGATTATCTTTTATCGAATAGAGTTCTCTTTATGCTATTACAACAGGAGATAGTTAAGATAGTCATCAAATTCTTGTTCTCTAGATTTTTCATTATTAGGCTCCTGAGTTTGCTTCCATACAGTATTTTCATCCGTACTTGATTTAGAATCAGTACCACTACTGCTTGGAGCATTTACATCATTAATATGAGTTTCATTATTTTGGGTTGTATTTTTTGAATCGGTAGATTTAAAATCAGAAAATTTCTTTGCCTTTAATTGATTTTTTAATGGCTTTATTTCCTTTTTTTTATGATAAAAATTTAATTTTTTACTACAGTCACAACATAACCCTAAAACATAGGAATATTTTTCACAAGATCAAAATTAAGTTTTTTACGTCTAGATTGGTGTTGAAATTATTATCTCTGTAATACAAACTCAATTTCACCAAAGCATTTTTTTTAGTATTATTTTCCATGTAACCAAAATTAACTTCCCAGGTTCTCAAATCATTTTGGTCTGAACACTTTTTGTTTCCACAACTAAATTGACCTTTTCCATTTATTAATTCTTGTTGCGTTCTCCATCTTAGACCAATCTGAAGATGAAAAAATTAATTAAAATACAAAATTATGATTGCTTGTTTTTAAATAATTTCTTGATAACTATACTTTATTTTCTTTATATCTAGACATATCTGCAACACAATATTCTTTAAATAATTTATTGTAATATTGTTTAGCTAATTTTTTTTCCCAAGAAAGCGTTGAAACATCTTCTGTTTCATTCCATAAGAATTGGTGGTTTTCTTTGATTACGTCTATATCTCGTTTGTCATTTGTTCTAAAAAAAAGGATATATTGTTTATAAGCAATAAATAAATTTTTTGTATTGCATTTAATAATTAAAAAATTTTAAAAATATTTCAACAAACGTGTCTCTTTTAAGCAACGATGTTTTTCCTTTAACTGATAGCAGGTAATCGTTTATTAAAATCTTATGCAAGTCATAAGGATTTAAATTTTGATAACGCTTCCCGTAACTCATCTACAACAATTTAAAATAACAGGTTTACAAAATGTTTTTTTTAATAACCCTTTCAAAAAATTTACGATAACTTACGGTAAAATAAATGAAAAAAAAAAAAAAAACCTAAGATAAAGCAAGTAGTATAAATAAAAACATAATGAGAAGTTACTTAATTTTTACTCTATGAAATCAAATTACCCGATTATAATCATGAGTTTTCTTTAAAGCATTCATAAATGAGAGGAGTTGTTTTACTTTCATTATGGGTCTTTGGTTTTTTTTAAATCTAATTTATGATTCAAATTTATTTTTAAGACAAATTTTCAAAAAAAAAAAAAAATTATAATAAAATTTAAATCTTTAGCGGCAATTTTTTTGATCAATGGAATTCTTAATGAAAATGATTCATTTTTGTAAAAAAAATACTAAGAAAATTAAACAAAAAACTTAATAATTGATGAAACGCAGGAATTTTTTGGTTAGGTAACTTTGTAACGTAAAAAAATTTTATACCTAATTGTGTTTTGTATAAAAAAAAGTAATAATTTATAATTTTGTTTTTATTGCTTTTATAGAAACGTTTAATCAAGGAATTGTAAAGAAATTGGGAACGGTAAGAAAAAGAGTCGTCAAATATATTTTTTAACGCACGTTAAAACCTTATAGTAGTTAATCTTATATGCGTTAATACCAAAATTTTATTGGCAGATTAATTATTGTGATAGTTTTTTAAAAGTATATTAAGTTCTGTTTTATGTAAGAAATGGATAAAACAGAATTACCTGAGGCTCATGACAAAATAGGAAGTGATAATGATGAAAAAGTTTCAAATAATAATGCACATGTGACAGATTTGAACTCTGATCAGAGTACAGTTTTAAATTCGTGTGAAATTAATGATAGTAATAGCACACCAGTAATTACTAATTCAGAAAATTCAGAAAATCCTGAAAACGATAAAGAAAAAACTTTACTGGAAAACTCATCTGATGCAGTAGTCATAATTAAAAAACCTTTGTGTGCTAATTATAGATCTGATTCTGAAAGTTACTCAAGTGATTCAGATAGTTCTAGTGAAACATCTACTACTTCTACATCCAGGTATGAATAAAAGTTGACTTTCATTGAAGTTGACTCTAAAAGTTCAAAAAAAAAAAAAAAAAATCAAAATATATATTATTAAATATTTATTTTAGTGATGAAGATGACGATGCTAATGATAAAAATGAAAATTATTCAAAAAAAACCAATGGTAAACTTGATGTTTCAATTTTTGAATTGCCTCCATTGGAGAATTTAAGTATCAGTGTACCTGAAGACTTAACATCTGAAATAGGTGTGATAGCAAGCCAAATCGACAATGTAGGTAATGTATATTGCAATAATTTATTTATCAATATTTTTTCTCTAAGTATTTTTGAAATTTCATAAATGTTTGTAATGATAATTTTTTTGTAATTTATTGATAGTAAAATTCTTATATATTAATTTGTAAAATAATTAATTTTTAAGTAATTTTTTCTTAGTATTCTGTATTAATTCAAAAATCAAAAATTAATATTTATGTTTTACTCAAATATATTTGCATACACTGCTAATAATTTATATCTGCATCTCAGTTGTAGTTGAATCCTATAAAGATACTGCTGCTTTGGATGTGGGAACAGTATTGTTTTTAGAAAAGGGTAAAACACCTCTAGGAAAAATTTTTGAAGTTTTTGGTCCTGTGTCTGAACCTGTGTATGCCGTCAGACTCAATAACTATGAAGAAGAAAAGAAAAAAAATGGTGGAAATATGAAAGGATTAAAAGTATACTATGCACCTAGTACCGAGCATACAACTTTTGTTTTTTTGTCCGAAATTGTAAAGTAAGTTTTTTTTTTTTTAATCATTTTAAATATAATATAGATATACTTATTATTAATATTTAAAAAAGTATTTATGTGATTAGCTAAAATGGAAAATTTTTTAAATTCCAATTATAATTTGTCTTGTTTTTGTGGCAAAAGGCTTAGCTGACCAATTCTTTTATTTTTACAATTATAAATATTGCAAAAAAAATGGCTAGAAATGATTTTTGTGATTTCATATGAACAAAATATTTTAAATTAATTTTTTTTTTTTTTTTTTTTTTTCATGCCTTACATTAACCTTAAATTTATTTAAACCAGAAATTTTGTATAAAAAAAAAAAAAAAAATATTTATTCAAAGTCCTGATATTAGTTCTATGTTTTCCCTAAATTTATAATAATAATAATAATTATTTAATTGTTCATTTTTTGTATTTTATTGATTTTATTTTTTCAGAGCAAAAGGTACTGATGCTTCTTGGAAAGATAATGTTGAAACACCCTCTGAATTTCAAGATTTTTCAGATGATGATGAAGAATACAATTTTCAAAACACGGTAAGAATAACAATTTATTTAGAAAAAATAATATATATATATTTAACTTTATAAATGACAATGTGGTTAGACATTAATATAAATTAAAAAATTAATATTTTTAGTATTCCGATGAAAATAATGAAGCTTGTAATTTAGGGAAACGCCAGTATAAATTTTCATCTTCTGAAAAACATGAGCAAAATAGCAACCATAAGAATGGAAATTCAAAACAAGCATATAAAAATAACAGTAAATTTATTCCAAAAAAACAAAATACATATTTTAGAAATTTCCATAGCCCTTCCACATCTGGTGTAATGCAATGGAATTCTTATCACCCCCCTTTTTGTAACACTTATCCTCGCCCTACAAATTTTGGCCCTATGAATCGATTTAATACTCCATTATATGGAAATCATTATGTGAGATTTGGAGATCCTGGAATCGTTGGAAATATTAATTATAACAATAGCCCTCAACAATATCCAGGACAGTATCAAAATCAAGGTTTAAGGATGGCTTTTCTTCAAAACTGCAACAGGTTACCTTCTACTGTACCCTTTTTTCCTTCCCCTCCTCCTCCTCCTCCTCCCCCTGCCCCGTTTTAATACTGGTTGCCATAAAAAACTTGATAAATAATTACATATCAAAAATATGCAGTTTAAATATTAAATTATAAAAAAGTATAACAATATTTTTTTCTTGCAAACAGTAAAAATTGCAAATGAAAAAATTTTTTTATAAAATTAATATAAGGTTACTTTATTGAATTATAATCGAATAAAATGTTAAATGTTGTATATAAAAAGTGAATATTAATATTAAAAAAATATTTTGTGATAATTCATTGATTAATAAAATACATTTTTTAAGTTGACATTAATATAGCATAGGTTCTTTTATATGATTTTTCCAATGAATGTATTGTTGCGTCATTGTTTTGTTAAAAAAAGAAAAACAAAAAAAAAAAAAGGATTCTGAAGCCTAGTAAAAACCTAATTGGTAAACAATTAAAATGAAGGAAAGTCCAACAAATTTCTCAGAATATATTAAAAAAAAAAAAAATTGGATTGTAAACAAAATATTTATTTATTTTTTTTTTAAACTCATGTTTTTTTTTTTTTTTTAAATTGTTATAGTAAAATAATATTTTTTTTATAATTGAACCATTATTTATGGTCAAAAAAAAATTTTATAAATCACTTAATATTTAACATTCAATAATATGTTATTCACATGTATATTTTTTAAGACATTTTTTATAATTAATGGAAATAAAAGGGGGGGGGGGAAATTTAATTATTTTTATGTATAGAAAACCACGTAGGTTTTCTTTTGAAAAAAACAATTGATAAATTTTTCTCATTCAAACATCATGATAACATATTATTTATAATTATTAGAGCGCAAGCCCCAAAAACTTTGAAAACATTTAAAATAACTTGGGTAATTTATTTAAGGGTAATTTTCAATTGAACTTCAAAGTGCGTGTTTGAATAATTTGAATAAACATTTTTTTTCGTGAAATATATATACGAATTTGAGGTAAGGCATTTTATATTAAACAATTTTTTTTTTTTTTTTTTTAAACGTTTGTGCGATACAAAATGTCGAAAAATTTACATTGACATATATTTATAATTTTATTTTCGAAAATGTCGGTAATTTTTTTTTTTTTTTTGCAACGCAGGAAAGTTTGGACACACAAAAACTTCTGATAAACAAAAGACTATGTACAGACTTAAAAATTAACTAAAATTAATAATGATTATAATTTTTTTAGGTTGACATTATGCCCAATTACATGGTAATTATTTTCGGTTTGATACTAGTTTCTGCAATTTGTAGCGGACAAGTGAATTTTACTCCCAATTGGGGAAAAAGAGCCGCCGTAACTCAAGTTATTGACACGGAATGTAAAACTTCTTTGGAATCTTTATTATACATATATAAAATATTACAATCCGAGGCTCAAAAAATAATTGAATGCAAAAAAATGTTGGAAATGTGATAATTAACTAATTTTGAAAAAAATTTTGATATTTACATGGAAATCCTTTAAAAAAAATTATCCTAATGCCTTTTCTTTAATATAAACACAAAGTAATATAATAACATTCATTTATTCATTTAATACTTATTCCTTCTGATTTTTTATGGTTTAAAACCTAAACCATGGAAAAATTTATAAGTATTTAGTTTAAAAACTTGTTTTATTTATTTTATTTTTTCAAAACTTTCAAAATTTTTCTTTAATATAAATATTTAATCAGTAATTATAACGGATCGGAAACAGCGAAAAAATAAAATAAGTAACAGAAAAAACGTTTACATTATTTTACATAAACTGAATAAATTAATTACTTAATTTCATGAACAATATTAGATGCAAATACAATCACTAATTTAGAAAAATAGACACGAGCCAAAAAATGTTAAACTTGAACACAAAGATAATCAGAAGAAAACTGATGAACGAAGAACTGAGTACCAAAAAACGCTTACTAAGATGTCAAGCCACCTTTTATAAGTTCGGTTTATTGTTATTGTTTTGTTTAAAACGCACAACAATCGAAATTAAAAAAGACTAACGCTATTAGTAAATAAAAGAAAAAAAAATGAAAGAGTTTCTAGAAGTTTCGCTTCTAAAGAATAAAGAGTATCTCTATGTCCAAGAGTTTGTGTCTATGGTTTCATTGTTACATTTTTTTTTGTTTACATATAAAAAATATATATATATATATATATATATATATATATATATATATATATATATATATATATATATATTGTTCTGAATCAATTCGATTATCGGTTTATAACGTTATGTTTACTATTCTAAATATCACAATCAGAATTAATTTATCGCAAAGAAGAATTATATTTATTGTTATAATCCCATTTCTAGATATTACAATTATAAATGGGTACTCCATAACTTTATCAAAATGTCTCTCTCATTTTTACATATTTTTATTATTTTTAGAAAATTAACTAAATGGATAAACAATTACTCTGTTTATGTATACTCTTTACGACCCTTTGAAATTTTAAAACCTTTTCATAAATTTTTTACTATAAGTTTAAAAAAAAAAAAAAAAATACTGCATCATTACATGTTCTTGTTTTTTTCTTTCTCATTTTTTTTGAGTCATATTATTTTATTAAAAACTATAATTAAATTTTCTTTTTAATAAATAATATTGTGTAAACAAAAACAAAACAAGTTTTTATTAATTATGCAAAAACTTAATAATATTAAATTTGTGTTTACAGCAGAAAAAAAAATTAATGTAACCCATGCCATGTCATGTTATTATGGGTAATAATAAATGGGGGAAAAAAAAACAGAAAAAATAATAATATAAAATTATTTTATTTGACTTGTTGATATTTAATAATTTCTTATTGTTTGCATTTCATTTTTTATTTATCTAACATTTCAAAATGTTTACACATTAATTATATGAAAAAACAAACAAACAAACAAACAAAAAAAAAAAAGAATCAGTCCAGTAAAACTTTAATTCAAAACAAGTTTTATTCAAAAAAAAAAAAAAAATGCATTGGCAGTTAATTTTAAAATTTGTTTTTTTAATAAAAATTTCGTCTGGTAGTTTGACTCCATTTTCTTTTTCAAACGGTTTAAGTGAATTGGTCGAACAAATAATAATTAAAAATTTTAATAATAACAGGTGTATCACATTTATAACAGATAATTTTTACGAATCTATTTCTTTGCCTTATAATCAATCTTTATTTATAATTTATTTGAAAAAAAACGAAAATCTAGAAAATATGTTAATGACAAATAGTTTCGAACAAGGTTGCGGAGGTTTTATAATACAAGTAAAAAAATCTTGTGCTCGATTTTTAATTGAACGTTTGGTTGCCGCCAAAAAAAAATCCGTCTGCTGTAGATACAATAATCAAAAATATATATTTCTACCAAATCAATATGAAGACGTGAATTTAGATTTGGTTAACTTACCTTATATGTATTTTTTCCCAAATATAGCTTTCATTAGTTTCTTATTAAATAACGAATCGGGAAACCATTTTTCCATATACGGATCAACTTATTTTAATAATTACAAATATAAAATTCTTAAAGTGACGAGCGAAATACTGGATTACTGGTCCTTTCGCGACGGTTTTAAATACGGAACGAATTTATTTCCTGATAGAATAAAAAACGTTATGGGATATAAATTTTTTTTTGCCTCCCTTAATTATTCTCCTTTTGGTCTGATCATAAACGAAAATAACAAAACGGTTTTTGATGGTTTTGAAACAAGAATCGCTGGTCTTTTTGTCGAAATAATAAATGGCACTTGGGATGGTTTAAGCCACGACACGTGGGGAGAGGTTTTACCGAATGGCACGGGAACTGGTATTTTACGTTCGATAATGGGTTTGCATTTAAAGTTTTTTGAAATTTTTTTTTTTTTTGTTTCGAATTTGAGACGATTATTTTTCTCTTTATCAGATCGTAAAGCCGAATTTGGATATTCCGGAATCTATCAATGGTTTTGCACAGATGTAGATTGTTCTTTTCCTTACTATCAGTCTGGTGTTACTTGTCTAGTGCCACGACCGGAATTAGTGTCCGAATGGCTGACAATTGTTTTACCATTTCGATTAAATACTTGGATAGCATTGGTCTTTGTTTACATTTTAAACATAATTTTTTTTTTATTTTCCTTATCGGCTTGGAATTGTTTGACAGGTGAAACGATAATTTTTGAAATTTATATAAATTAACGTATTAAATTATCTATTTCTTCCTTTATACATTAGGCTCCAGCATTTTCAAGAAAATTGGACGAAATATAAACGATTCATTTTTTACAATATTTAGAATTCAAATGGAACAAATTCCAAAAATGACTACTTTAAACAATGCCACAGTTGTTTATTTAAAATTTGCAATACTTTATTCTTTTTTTATGGCTGTTTTCTGGCGAGGTGGAATATCATCGATTTTAACAGTTCCGAGGTATTTAATAATAAAAATTAAATTTAATTAATTCTCTTATTTAATTTAATAAATAATTTGTTTTAAATAGATATGAGAAGCCCATAGATACGGCTTTGGATTTAGTAAATAAATGGCCCAAAATTCGATGGGGAGGAAATTCAAACCTTTGGGTTCATTCTATCAAAAGGTCAACTGATCCGACTTTAATACAAATAGTTAATAAATTTGTTTCATTAGACGACGATACGTTGAAAAAAAAAACGGAAACGAAAGATTTTGGATTTTTTATTGAGGAATTACCGCATGGTAAAAATAAAATAAAATTTTTTTATTAAAAAAAAAAATATGGACGGTATAATTTTAATACCAGTATTAATGCAGTCACGTACAATTATATTAAGTGAAAACTTCAAAAGAATTTTTTCCTTTTTTTTTTTTTTTTTGGATAATGCCCTTTGTTTTCATTTTAATGATGTATTAATGTGTCATTTTAAATTTTTAATTTCCTTTTTTAATTTAATTTAATTTTTTTTATTTCTATTTTTACATTAAAAAGAATAAAATTGTGCATTTGAATTGTTAGTCAAAAAAGTAAATTTCAAGGTTTTTTTTTTTTTTTCATACAAAATTAGGTTTAATTAAAAAAAAAAAAAAAAAAAAAAAAAAAAACTCATTGTAAAATGTAATAGAAAAGGAAATAGGAAATTGTTTTTTTATTTATTTAATGACGAAGTCGCTGCCGAATTTATCTTTTATAAAAAAATTTCGTGTTTAAAAAGTTGAGTATTTAAAAAAAAAAAAAAAATAATAATAATAATTATTCGAGTTGATTATTTACAATAATGTGTGAAAAATTATGAAAGTTTGTATTATATACCTGAGAAAAATAATAATTTACAAATTTTTTTTTTTCTCGGCGGTTCGACTTCTGTTAAATTTAATGTAATTTTAAAAGTCATCATGTTCGAATTTAAAAAAAATAAAAATTTTACGTAATAGCCCAAGTTTCAAATGATGAAAAAGAATTTAAAAATTCGATTGATTTCATATAAATAAAAACATGAGAATAATATACACGTTTTTTTTTAAACGAAGGTCATTTTGGACACAATGAATACATTAATGAAGATGGTATGAAGTACCTGAGATTAATGAAAGAAAAAATTTACAAAGCTTTTGGAGTTATTATTTTACCCAGAGGTAAACAAAAAATATTTTAAAAATTAATTTATCATTTATTATGTTTTTTTTTTTTTTTTTTTCATTTATTATTACGATTATTTTGAACAGGTTCACCATTTACCGAAAAATTGGATCTTTGGCTTTTACGGATGTTCGATACCGGTATAGTACATAAAACAGAAAATCAGGTTAGTTTTTTCCACAAATCAAATTCATTTATTTATTATTAAGAACATAATTTTTTAATATTATCTAATACGTAGGTTGTTGTCGAACGCGCCAAAAACAGATTACAGAATATGATTGGTTCATCGAACGAGAAAAAAACCGGTAGCGTAACGTTGGCTCTCAGACACATTCGTGGTCCTCTTTATATTTATTTTTTTGGGATAATTATTGCGTGTGTTGTTTTTCTTTTTGAAGTGTTTCCACTTATTTTGAAAAAATCTATTCAAAAAAAAAAAAAAAATGAATGGTAGAAAAAAAACAATATCATTAGCTTTTGACTTGAAGTAGTGTTTCTAGCTCTTTCCATGCCCAGTTCTTTTTCCGCTTTTGCACAGAAACAAAATATATTTATATATTCATAAAATATTAGTTTTTTTTAAACGATTTGCCATTTCACGTTCTAATATCACTATCCAGTTTTTAAAAATTAAATAATGAAACAATACGACGGTGGAAAATAGCATTTACAAAAAGATTTTTCAAAAAAAAAACTATACATTAAATGACACCTTAATATACGTCGATGTCATATTAGTTAGTAACGTACTCAATAGAGGACCTCACGAAGATTTAAGTATAAATCTACGTGTGCACAAAAGGGACAATGGCAAGTAAATGTTGAACTCGAGTCTGCCATGTTTTAAAAATCGGTCGTTGTTTTTTTTTTGTGTGAGTTAAATCAATTGTTTGCCTAAAATTTGTGTTTCTGATTTTTAAATTTTGACATAAAATATAGAAAAAAAAATTGCACTAAATATATAGATTTAATTAAATGGTTGAATAACTGTATGCAACTTGATTTACTTAGATCTTGTGCGGTACGCAGAAAAAAAAAAAAAAAATTCTTTAAAATGTGTCATTCATAAGAATATTTATTGAAAATTTCACTCTGATTGCAGTCCAGGTCAATTTATCTGACAATTACGAATTGATTTTTTTTTTTTTTATACTTTAAATCTATTACGAAGTATTATTAAAGTAAATACTTGTTTATAAAAAAAAAAAACTTTTTACTAGATTCATTGTGTTCATAAATCGTATAAAATCGTAAATCTTTTGTTTTAAAGATTATTATTAACAATTAAATATTAAAAATTAGTTAATTCGGATTAATTTTACTTATTTTTTGATAATTATTAAATTTTAATTTAAAACTTTTTCTTTTTTCCTCAAAAATAAATAAATAATTAAAACATTTAAAAGAACAGCAGTTCCTATTATTGGTTGTCATTAATTGTTAAAACCTTGGGAAAAAAAAAAAAAAAAAATTTTTTTTTCCTTATAAATACATGAAAAAATCCATATAAATCACAATTAAACAAACTAATTTTTATTCAGGTATAAAATTTTTTAGTAAAGTATAAAAAGACTGCTGCCTTTAAATATATTTATTAACAATATGTGATATAATTGTGTAGAAAAAAAATTTAAATCAAATGTATAAATGTACCAAGATTTATAGGTTATTAAGTTTTTTATTTTTTCTTAATCATTAAACGTTAAACAATAAAGTACACAATATTTACATCAATCTATATAAAATTAAATGTAATTTATTGTCATTAATAAAATTTTATAAAACACAAAAGTGATTTTTTATGCATTTTAAAGAATTTTAATATTCATGTATTACTTTTCATGAATTATTCTTCAAAAATTAATGTTTTCTTAAATTTTATTGTGTTTGAACATATAAATGTAAAATTTAAATATTTTAATGCTCAAAAATTTCTTATTAAAATATTTACAAATTTTTGTATTGGCATAGTGAAAAAATAAATTTAAACTAATTTAGTGTTGTTTAATTTTGTTAAATGTCTTAAATTGCTTACTTTAATTTACTTTTTTCTCTCTTTTCAGGTACTGAAATTGGTGACACTAATTTGTTGCTACAGCTCCCCAATGGTTACGTAAGTTTACCTGAAATAGATTTATACATTTAAAATTAATCTTCTTTTTTGATATTTAAATAATTAATAACTGTTTTTTTCCTTTCTCTCTCTCTCAATTAAAAGTTCATTTATTTTAATTCTTTGTTCCATATATTTATGAATTCATTATCACTCACAATACTGAATATTTTTTATAATTTTAAAATCTCAAAAGGTTTTGCATTTGTCATTTATTATGTTAAGAAAAAGGAAAGAAAATTAATAAACTTTTAAATAAATCAAACATATGAAAAAAAAAAATATATATGTGTATGTATATATTGTTACAGATGATAAGTAATGGGTTTCTTTGGATTTTATGCCGGCATCTTTAAGCCTCATGTTTTCCGGAAAAAATCAGTCATTTTAATTGTGCTGATTGCATTGGCATTAATAGTTTTTTGCTTTCAATATTCTTCTACATTAACGTCAGAAGTTGAATTAAGAAAAGAAGATGGTAGAGGGCTGTCAAATCATAAATATAATGATATCATCAGAATTGGAGATTTATTTCAGAAACCTGGAGAAAAAAGCGTTCAGTTTCTCGTGGTAGTTATATTTTAATTAACTATAAATTAAAAAATACTTCATACTAGGCTGTTTGCATTTTCATGATTATTTAGTTTTACTTAATATTTTTTTTTTACAATATGGCACTTGATAATCTTTTTACATTTTTCTATTAATTTAATTAATCATATATTACTAGTTGGGTTATAAATCAAGGCGTTACATATCAGGTTCCGCTTTTATTGTTTTTATTATTCTTTTTAGTTTTTATTTATAAGGCCTTGTTTCATAAAAGTTAAAAAAAAAAAAAAACAAAAATAGGATTTGAAAAAAAAACTAATTTTACGAGTGCCTCAAAGAAAAGCTTGAATTTGTTTAAATTCCCATTAAAATTAACTTGTTACATAAATTTTTTATGCTTAAAAAATTCTCATAAAATCTTTGACTAAACAAAAAAAATAAAAAAAAGAAAAATTTACTGTGTGATTTCCATCTTGATAAATTTTTTTATTAACAAGTATGAAGGATAATTTTTGCTTATGGTAATATAGGCCGGAGAGATAGCATCTAGAGAACAAAATTTTGGATTCGACAATAGTAAAACTCAAGTAAAAAAATATTTAACAAAATTAAATGGAAAATTACCAGAGCAACCTACAAGAGATGAAATTTTTAGACGACAAAATTCTCTTGATTTATATACTAATGCAAAAATCTTAGAAGAAGGTTCAACCACTTCAAATTTTGCTTTTAAATTTGGTGTAAGTTTTCTTTCTTTTTTTGAATACAAATTTTGAATGGTTCAATTTCGTATAATAATTGTCAATAATAATTCAATATATTTTTTGTTACAATTTTCCATAACATTTAAAAAGAAAATAAAAGAGCATTAATTTATAAATAATAAAGTAACTGTTGACATATTTTATCGAAACAATTGAATAATCTTATGTTTTTTTGTGATTATTTTTTTAGATTAAAGGAAAAGAAGATTCTAAAAATGATTGGTATGATTCTACTTTACATTCGATGGGAATTCCTGTTGTTACATTAGATTCTTACATTCCGAAGCAAAGATTAGTACATTTTGATTTAAAAGGAGCCCCTCCAAAAGTGAGTTATATTAAGAAGGTAATTAAGCTTTCTAAGCAATTGGGAGCCACAGGAATACTTATGGAATATGAAGATATGTTTCCATTTTGGGGTGAGTACAATAAGGCAGTGTATAAATAAATTTGGGTTCTCCGTAATTAATACCGTTGAAAAACGTTTAAAATATACATTTGAAAAAAAAAAAAAAAAAAAGAGTAATTTTACTCGTTTTAGGGCCGTTATCAGTTCTTTCTGCCGGTAATGCATATACAAAAAGTGATATAGAGGAAATTCTTGCTTTTGCCAAAACTAACGACTTGGATGTAATACCTCTTGTTCAAACTTTTGGTCACGTGGAATTTGCTTTAAAATTAAAAAATTTTGCTGATTTGCGGGAAGTTCCAGAATCTCCTCAAGCTTTATGCCCTTCGAACAATGCATCTTTGGATTTTGTCGAAAATTTAATTAATCAGGTTTTATTTTATTTTATTTTTAAATTGAATTTATGTCTTTTAATGTGAATGGGTAAAACAAAAATGTGTGTGTGTGTGTTTATTTATTTATTTAAACTTATTAAAGGGAATAGCTTATTTTGCAAAATATCTCTAATCTAATTTATTTAGAGTTGAATTATCTTAAGTTAGAGTTTTTTTAGTAAAATTTTTAACAATGGTTTCATTAGAGTTTCATTAAATCTAATATTACTTTTTCAGTTTTAAACAGCCTTAAAATTAATTTTTTATCATAAAATTTATACCAAAATCTAACAAATTTGTGCTTTTATTTAATGGGGAAAAAAAAACTTTTACGCATTTATTCCATTATAAGTAAAAAATACTAAATAAATTTTTTATTTTTTGGTAAATTTACTAAATAAAATAAATTATATTTGAACCGATCAATGTTAAAAAAAAAAAAAACGAAAGAAATAGAATTTCTAACCTAATTTTTATAAATAACAAATTAAAGATCAACACATTTTGTTCATCTAAATTTTGAATTGATTATTTTAAAATTTATTTGTTAATAACTTTTTTTTTATTTTTTTTTTTTTTTTAGGTAATGAAATATCATCCATCTGCCAAGTATCTTCACATCGGATGCGATGAAGTTTTTCAAATGGGTGAATGTCCTAAATGCCGTTTGCAACCGAGGTATAATCTTTTTTTATCACACGTTTCTCGCGTTGCTAATTATGTAAGAAAAAATTATCCGAACGTGACACCCATCATCTGGGATGATATGCTTAGACATTTGCCCACTCAATCTCTTGAAGAATTTCATATTGGAAAATTAGTGGAACCAATGGTAAGTTAATATTACATATTTATTTATATATATTTTGTATTGAATTTACGATAGTTTATTATTGTGTTGGTTTTTTTAGTAATGGTATTTATCATAAATTTAAATTATATTTAACGAAATTAAATTTTTTTTACATGTATAAATAAAAACATCATATTTTTAAAAATAAATTTAATCAAAAAATGAAAACGCTCAGTCATTAAGGACTAATTTTACGTATTTCATCTGAGTAATTTTTGAATCAATTGAAAAATTATTTTCATTTTATTAATTAGGTTTGGGTGTACGCAGAAGATATTTACAGATTTGTACCATCTTTGGTATGGGAAAAATACGCTGAAATTTTTCCAAGGGTTTGGGTTGCTTCTGCTTTTAAAGGCGCGTTCGGTGAAACAATGTATATTCCTAATGCCAAGAGACATTTGGAAAACAATTTGAGATGGCTTGAAGTAATGACGGCTGAAAATCAAAAGTTTAAAAATGGATTTGCTGGCATCGCACTCACCGGTTGGCAAAGGTACTTTTTATTTTTAATGAAAAAATGAATGAATGAATGATAATTTTCGGTTTCATCACGTTTAAATCTAATAAATCGCAGATATGATCATTTCGCCGTTTTATGCGAACTTCTTCCCGCCGGCATTCCTTCGTTGGCCATCAATCTTCTAGCCGTGAGTCACGGTTATTTTAATCAGTCTCTTCGTAATAATCTACTGTTGCCTCTCAGCTGTCAAACGGATTCTCATCCGTATTCTGGAATAGTAAATTTCAATAGTGATCCGTTTATGTGGAGCAAGCTTTCTCGATGTTTTTTTCCTGGCTCTAGTTTTTATAGGCTATTGAACAGGTTTCATTCTACTGAAAAAGAAGTCAAAGAATTTTTACATGTCACAACGAAATCAAAAGGTTGGATGACGGATTACAACACGGTACATAATTTTTCCAGTCCGCTGAGAGTGGACGAACTTATGGTCGATTATCCTCGTATATATAATAATCTTATTTCGCTCGAGCGTCACGCCAGAGAGTCTTTAGAAGAAATTTTCGATCAATACACAGTTAATGAGTGGTTAGAGCAAAGAATTTACCCTTATCTAAAAAAATTAGAACAACTCGAAGCCAATGCTCTTAGTCTTAAGGCAATTAAATATTGGCCTGTGAGGCCTTTAAAATCAGTTAGAAGTTACGATGAACAATCAAATTCACCTGGATCTGTGAAACATTAGAATAGGTGTAACATGATTTAGATGTTTTTTTTTCGGGGCACAGTACTTAAAGAAAAATAAAGACAAAAAGTTCTTTAAGAAACGATTAAAAATAGTATTATAAAAAAGTTAAATTTCGAATTGTTAAACTAATTAACACCAAGAGTTAAAACAAAAATCACGGTTTCCCATTTAAAATGAAAAGAGTTCAGACATATTTAAAAAAATAAAAAAATTTATTTTACACGTTATTTATAAAACATATTCTAATTTCATTTAATTAATAAAATAAACGCCGGGATAAATAAAAAAGCGCACAAATGGTTGTTCGTTACAAAAAAAAAAATTCTCAATCGTTAATTTTTTTATTTGCATAAAAGGAAACATTTATTTAAAACTAAAGTAATTTAAAGAATTGTTTTTAAAAAAAAAATCTGCTCTAAAAATAATTAATTATTCATGCATAAAGATCAAATACTTAAGAATGAACTTCAAATTAAAAAAAAAATTTTGTTATTATTATTATTATTATTTTTGATTCAAATTTTGCATAACAATTTAAAATGGATAGTCACGTAAATGTTTTTTAATGAGTTTACACATTAAGTATAAATCAAATTTTTTTTATTACGTTAATTGTTTATAAAAGTATTATATGCTTGTCTGTATAAGCAATAAGCGCGAAATTTGTTTTGTTTATTTGTTATTATTTATATTTTTGTAATGTTTTTTATAAATCATATTTTGTTTAAGTGTCTTAACAAAAAAAAAAAATGTAATCAATTCATCAATACATTGTTTTTAATTGTGGTTGTGAAAAAAATGAAAGGAAATAATTGTAAATTTTTTTTTTTTTTTTTGTTATTTTTAATCAGTATGATAGTTTTGGGCTGTGAAAATAAATAAAAGTCATTAATTAAAATTATTCATTCCATATTAAAATCATTGGCTGCGGTTTTAATTTTCGGTTTGTATTTTTTTTGGTCAGGAATCAATCAATTATTTTGTGAAAATAATTTTTTTTTTTTTTTAAAGTATTATTATTTAAAAGAATCTCGAATGAAAATTATTTATACGATGAAGTATTAACTACAGATTAATGGTAATTCATTATTATTATTATTATTATTTGGTATTATTTATTACAGCTATGAAACAAGTTGTTGTCGAGCAGCTATTTATTGAAATTTTATTCGAATAAATTTTTGATAATAATTAAAATAAAATAATTTATTAATTTCGTTTTCTGGTGCTATCCTGGTGCTGTAATTTATTAATTTAAATATATATATATACATACATAGTTACGTGTGACTTGTATTTAAAATTGCGCTTTTTTTATTTATAATATTATTATCACCGAAACATCTAAAAAATGTATTTATAGAAATTAAAATTTTTTTTTTAAATCCATCACGACAGAAGACGTTATTGACTATAAGGTAGCAGTTAATTATAATTATTATTATTATTATTTCAATCATTTTAACTGCATCTGCATAAGAAATAATTTTTTGAATTTAAATTATGTACTTTCAAAACTCGTGATCAAATTTTTTAACTAGAATATTGTGTTATTATTTTCTTTTTTGTTACAAACTGGTAAACAATGCATATTTTGTTTGTTAACTAGTTTTTTTTTTTTTTTTTTTTGAAAACTGGTCAACAACAACAAAATTATTGCATAAAAATTTTTGTTTTTTTTATAAACGAGTTATTTATAAAACTGGTTAATTGCAAATATGTCAAATGTTGCGCTACACGCGATTATAAAAAATCATGTTTTTAGATATAAGTAAAAAAGTATTTTTCTAACACAATTATTATTATTATTATTATTTTTTTTTTTTTTTTTACAGCCGCACAATATATATTATTGGCTTGGCTTGTTGTATTTTATATTATTAAAACCTTTATATCATTATAATATATGTTTGTATTATATAATAACAGGCTGTAATTATATTTATTATTATTATTATTATTAATTTTAGTACTAAAATTTTAACATCATTACATTGATTACATGTACATATAAATACTATTATTATTATTATTATTATTTTTTATGTAAAACTAAAAAATTATATACA